GGCAGGATACGCCCACATTTTGCAAGAGGTGGATAGAGAACAAGCTAAAAACAAACGTGATTTTTTGTACAATCAGGGGCAATAATCCTGAAAGTTATGGCCTGAAATGCGCAAATATCAATAGGGAGTGAGATCTTTGGGATATAAAGATATGCTTTAAGTTTTATTAGAATCCGATAAAAATTGTGACCTCTAGAGGGTCCACAACCTTCGTATTGCATACTTTTACACAATTTGTGTACAAAGAGCGGCCATTTTGTCGGGAAGTTTCATTTCGATTTTCATGAAATTCGAATTCAACCTTTCAATATCGTGGAATGGTGAAATATTTAAACGGTTTTTAAAATAGGAAAAGAAATTGGGACCTCTAGAGAATCCACAAGCTAAAAAAGCGATTTTTCGAACAATCAGGAGCCATAATCCAGGAAGTTACGTTCGGATATACGCGATTTTCAAAAGGAAACAAGATCTTAGTGTGTAATGGTGATATATTCACATGTTTATTTTTAAATCGACCTCTACACATACGCGCGAATATCGAGAGGAACCAAGATCTTTGGGTTATAAACATGTATCTCAACTCTCATCAAAATCGAATCAAAATTGTGACCTCTAGAGGTCCACAAGCTAGATATACCAGATGCTATACACTATTTGCGTACGAGGGGCGGCCATTTTGTCCGGAAGTTTTGGCCCGATTTTCACAAAATTTCAACTCAATAAACATTACGGTGTAACAGTGATATATTCAAATGTTTTTTTTTAATCGGATAATAATTGTGACCTCTAGAGGGACCACACGCTAAAAACATGATTTTTCATACAATCAGGGGCCATAATTCAGGAAGTTACTATCCGATATGCCTGAATATCGACAGGAACCAAGATCTTTGGGTTATAAACATGCATTGCAAGTTTCATCAAAATCAGAAGTAAATTGTGACCTCTAGAGAGTCCACAACATTGATATACCATATTTTTACGCTGTTTGAGAACGGTGATATACTAAAACGTTTTTTTTTTAAATCGGATAAAAATTATGACCTCTACAGGGTCCACAAGGTAAAATCGCGATTTTTCATAAAATCAGGGGCCATAATTCAGGAAGTTACAGTCCGATATGCGCGAATATCTACGGGAGCCGAGATCTTTGGGTTATAGACTTACATTTCAAGTTTCAACACAATCGAATAAAAATTGTGACCTCTATAGGGTCCACATGCTAAAAACGCGATTTTTCGTACTATCAGGGGCTATAATCCACGAAGTTGAGGTCCGATTCGTGCCAATACATAACTTCCCTCTAGGCTTCTTCAAACAATTATAGTAGAAGATATGGAATCGTGGGTTCATTTGTGTTCAAATGTTTTTTGCCATTCTTCACCTATCTCCTTCAATGAGCTGACTGTTTCAGTTTTTCCATGCAAAGTAAAATCCATCCTACTGTCTTTCTAGGTGTTGTCCAATCAGAAAAATGTCAAATAGGGTTGTTCATGATGATAGGAGACTGGTCTATAATAACTGCTTTACTAATTTCTTCACTTCACAATAACCTTCTTCTAGGTCTCTGTCAAATTTTATTTTAGACCATGTTGATTCTGGTTTCCAAAGGAAATCTGGTCCTCCTAACCATCTTTTACTTTTCATATTGTCTTGTACTTTAATACCTCTGCCGACAGGATCGTCTGCAGATTTTACATAAAACCATGTGTATACATCACAAACCTCGTGTATAAAAACAAGACGGTTCGAAACGAACGCGTGGAATCTTGTTTTCTCATTTGCTATACAATGTATATCGCAGTACTATCCAAAAAATTACATCGTCTGTATGATAGTCTAATTCTGTGGTTATGAGCATATGCATTCTAGCAGCCACCATGGCAGCGGTTAATTCCATTCTAAGTATTGTCTTCTTTTTCACGTGATATAATCATTTTAGAGACATTTTAAGTATTTAAAATCCCTCCGACAAACTACGCGTGGTAATGTATCTGTGGACTTTTGGCAGTTATCCACGTAGAAATTCTTCTGTATAGTTTCAGCTACCTCTGGTTCAAATTTTTGTTTAAAGTCGTCCATGATTCTATCTAAGTGTAAAGTCATCCTATAAACTTGTGGCATATTATCAGACCTTCCTATAAATAAAACCGCATACAATCTCGATCAGCTCTTGGTACTTAGGTTTGATAGAACATTGACTTAATATCTGCTGCCACCAGAGCAATGTTTTCTTGTCTAAACCTAAGTAGCACTTTAACCAAACTATTAGTAAGATTTGGGCCTTGTAGAAGTAAAGTGTTCAAAAATATGCCTTTGTATTTGGCAGAGCAGTCAAACACTGCTCGGATCTAGTTTGGTTTTTAGAATGGTATGCTATGTACCAAACCTTGCCATCATCCAGTTGTAATTGGTCTTCTGACAAATTTTCTGTAAACACTCATCAATTTCTTCTTTCATGAATTTACAATAATTATAATCTGGTACCATTTAACCGCAAAATCGCTTGTTTCTCTTTATTTGGTAACTGTTATTTCTAAATGATCATGCAATAGTATAGTGTCCTTCCTCATACGCTATTGTATTATCTATTATTTTCTCCGTGTTTATCTATAGTCTATGAAATCTGTGTCTATAGATCTTCTGAACATAATTTCTAAATTTCTCACACTTATTCGATTTTCTATAGTAGATATGTCTTTACTTCGTTCAGAAGCAAAATTGCAAAAGTGTTTATTTTCAGCGACATTGCTTTGGGACTTTATTAAATTCCAAATAATCCATCCAAGTGTAGTTCTCTGTGCATAGGGGGTGGTCCTTATGGAGCAGTTCTAATTAATAAGGGTTTGTAGGCCCCAGTTACATTATTTCCAATCAATATCCCAATTCGTCAGTTTTCTAACTTTGGTATCCGTATCCCTTTAAGCTGTGACCATACATCAATGACGACGGGAAAGTTGGATAAAATACTTGGTGTGTATAGGAGGAAGTCCAATCTCTCACTTCTAAACCATTTTTTTAAAAAAAACGTATCTAATGCGTGGGATTGTCCAAGCGTATTTAAAGGAATCTTTTTTCTATCATTTACACCAAGTTCTCTTCTAACTGGCTCAAAAACCAATGTATCGTAAAAGGCTAAGGTTTCAACACGCAGGCTGCAATTCTTCTTATTTTAAAACTGAAGAGTCATCATAGGTAAATTGCATTCATCTATTTATCCGACCCTAGACCCAGAAGTATTTCTTCTAAGGCATTGCCAAATGCGGAAATAAATTTGTCCACCTGAAATGATGTAGGGGGTGGATTAAGCTGCTGTTTCCGTTGTTAGATGACTGTAGACTGAACAGGTCTGCAAATATCACCATCATCCTCTCGTCACACATGTATACATTGTACTTTATGTGTTCAAATTTTAAACAGCCATAACAAATTCCTCTAGATCTTAAAAAAAGTTCATCATTAATGGTGGAATCGATGTTTTCACCAGATTGCCATTATTAATAAATAATAAAGTTGACTCAGTGTTAGAAGATTTCACGCCAGATCTTTGCTCTTGACAAACACCTTTGCGGGTTTCACATTATTGTGGGGCGGATATTTAACATTTTTTGGTTGAGTTGTGCACGTCCGGAAAGAAGCATGAAAATTTGGCCATGGAGGTTTTGGGGTATGCAGACTTAAAAAATGGCGGGAACCACGATGTCACTCCAGCCGTTCCAGCCAAAAATTGAGAAATTCAAAATGGCCACCATAAAGTAAATGTTTATTAAATTATAGCTGATTATATGTATCAACTTATCAGTCATTTCAATTTGTCTATGCTAGATGTGCCTTGTCTATGAATATGAAACCAGTAACTGGACAAGGACATAATATAATGATCATATTCGCCTAACAATATTTGCATAAATTACCCAATATTATTACAACGCACCCCCCCCCCCCCTTTTTAAGATTTCTGCGAAATTATCCGATAGAAGACTCCTTAAAAACGCCTGCAAATATATACGATTGACATGTAAGATTACACATGATCAACAATCTGCTTCAAGAATAAAAGGATCATAGAAAAACACAAAGAAACAAAAATCCAAATCAAACATCGCATGCAGTCGTTGCACTACAAAGTCCTACAATAATTCACTTTAGTTAAAGAAGAGTTATCTCGCTTCAACAATTACTGAGAGATTATTATCAGTGTTTTGCATTTTAACAAAGTTTACAAAGTTTGCCACAGATCACTAATGATTTCTCCATTGACTTTAATGTTAATTCTCGTCTTTTGGACCGGCTCTAACTTTTTCCAAAATTTCCGTTGGGGGTAGAACGCTTTCTACCACAGATGGAGCAACATGTGGCAACCTCTTGCCCAAAAGCACGTATGAGGTTCACCATTGAAAACTTGAAATACACAAGCTGGAAGTAGAGACAAATAAACATGCAATTTTTGACCCTACATTTCAACCTTACCAACCTCTTAACACCAAACAGTCAACAAAAGGGGGAAAAAGGAAAAGGGAGAGAAAGACTAAAAATAACTGTCGCCCTACATTCGTCGAAGAAATATTTGGTGATTTGTGTCCTTTATAGGGGTGAAACTTCCGTTATCACCAAAAAGCCTTTTTTATATGCTTCCCATATGTTCTGGCAAAATACGGGTGAAAGGGAATCAAAATCAAAGAATAACTGCAAAAATGATGGCCCTTTAAGTATGCTGCTCTATGTACAGCAGTGCATCTAAGGGCCAAGGGACTTGTGTACTAAAATTTAAAAATCTTTCTTATTAAAGGTAGTATTTGAGTTCTGTGAAAAAATAAGACAAGTTACAAACAAATTACACAGAAAACACTCATAAGCTGGGTTTTTTTTTCAAAAATATATTTTTTACTGCCATGTCATGAACAAATCTTTCTTATTAAAGGTAGTATTTGAGTTCTGTGAAAAAATAAGACAAGTTACAAATTACACAGAAAACACTCATAAGCTGGATTTTTTTTTTCAAAAATATAATTTTTTACTGCCATGTCATGAAAAAATCTTTCTTATTAAAGGCAGTATTTGAGTTCTGTGAAAAAATTAGACAAGTTACAAACAAATTACACAGAAAACACTCATAAGTTGGATTTTTTTTTCAAAAATATAATTTTTTACTAATAATTTATATAACATTTCAGGTCTAAAGAAAGACCTGCAATAGGCAGATTTAGCTCCTGCATAATTAAAGGATAACACGTGGCAAAGAAGAACATTTGGCTGATTTCTATTTAGAACATTACAAACAGTTGTTTTATTGTATCACAAGTAAAAGACTGAGATGACGACAGCTAAAACTGAATCAACCCCGAATTGGATATCTGAAATAAAAAAGAATAATAGCAACATTATAGCAATTGTAAATTACAGACACAAAACCTATTTTCGGAGTGATTTCCCCAATTAGTGATTAACTTTGAGAAGGTGGAATAACTTCGTCTTATTATATTATTTTTATACGCCCATATTTCCGTCCGTCAACAACTGGATCGTTAACGCGATAGGGGCTATAGAATTAAGGGATTGTCTTCAATTTTAGTGAAAACATTTGGGCATGATTGGCGATCCCTATTCTGAGTTATTCCCCCCTCCCACTCTTTCTGACAACCTTGATAACGCAATACAAGCTACAGTTCTAGGTCATTTTTTTTAGAATTTGGTTTGAGGCATTGGCGTCACGAGCGGACGACCCCTATCGATTTTCATCCCTCTGCAACATTTCCTTCCTGAGTTGATAACGCGTAAAAGACTAGTTTTTAATAAAACGTTTTCAAATTCGGTGTTCGGCATTGGGTCATGAGAGAACGACCCCGTCACCACCCATGGATTGCCAGTACAAATCAAAATTCAGTGTTGTGTGTGTCCACCTCTAGATAAGCTTCTGGGTCGCGGCTTTCAAATCTCTGCAATGCTGCAATGCAGACTTTGGTACGCGAGTGTCATCTTTAACAAAACTGTAGGAGTTGCACTGACACTAGATTTTCAAAAGTCATATTGCATATTCCATGTATGTGCCATAAAATCGAATTCATGTCTTAAGGTTAACAGATTATAAAAACATCAGTGTCACTTGATTAATGTGTATCTTTCAAATGAGATTCATAATAATTCGTTTATAATAGGTGCGTTTGCATTGTGTCTCATGTATATGGTTCCATAACCATCTGATAATTTTTTTTAAGTTTTTAAAATTCAGCCAGTCTAAAACTAAATAGAACATTAACGGATTAAACATATTATTGAGTTACTTCCAGGCTTATTGGTATTTTAAAACATACACATTTATATTTTGCATTCATACTTACTGGTAGTCCCAGACGTATATCTTATAGCTGCAGATTCGTGGTTCAGCCAGTAGTGATTTTTATCCTTGGCAATAGTAGCCCTGAAATATAACTAGTTAATTAACATGGTACAAACCACATTTTCAAGCATTTATAAATCACACTGCCAGTGTGACTCAGATTAAAAGAACAATCTCGGAATAAGCGTGAAATGTGGTCGAATATAACTGTCTGTATACCCTTTAAGGATCACCTGGGGGATTTGATTTTGTGGGATCTATTCGTTGAGAGTTCGCGTTCTATTGACTCGACCCGTGTTCGAACCCTGTGTTCACCTAGTCATTTATCAGGATTTTCAGGCGTGGTTTACCCTTTGTTAGTGGTGCAGGACGGAGGGCCTGGCAAGCGTGAAAGTATAGCCGTTCGGATGGGGAAGAAAATCCAAGGTTCCGCAAACACCTTTGTGAGCACGTAAAATAACTCTTAACAGATGGAATTCGATATAAGTACCGCTGTCGGGGAAACATTTCCCTCATATCACACAATGTGGTGCCCGTCCGTCTTCATTAGCCCAGGTGGTGCATAGCAGTAGCACATGAAACCCACCTTTTCGTGTCAATTCGATTTTTATACGCCCATATTTTCATGTGGACGTATTATGCCGTCGCCCCTGTCCGTCCGGACGTCCGTCCACAATTTGTTTGTGGACACTCTACAGGTTACAATTCTTATCCGATTTTAACGAAACTTGAAATATAGGTGTATCTCCAAAAGATCTCGGCTGCTTTCGATATTGGCATGTATCGGATCGAAACTTCGTGGATTATGGCCCCTGTTTGTACGAAAAATCACGTTTTTGACTACAATTTTTATCCGATTTTGTTGAAACTTGAAATGTAAGTTTATAACCCAAAGATCTCGGCTCCTTTCGATATTCGCGCATATCGGACCGTAACTTCCTGAATTATGGCCCCTGGGTGTACGAAAAATCGCGTTTTTAGCTTGTGGACCCTATAGAGGTCATAATTTTTATCCGATTTAAAAAAACGTATTATTATATCACAATTACACCATTAGGACGACTGAGTTCGAATTTCGTGAAAATCGGCCCAAAATTGACAGACAAAATGGCCGGCGTTCGTTCTCAAATAGCGTAAAAATATGGTATATCAAGGTTGTGGACCCTATAGAGGTCACAATATTTATCCGATTTTGTTGACACTTGAAATGTAAGTTTATAACCCAAAGATCTCGGTTCCTTTCGATATTCGCGCATATCGGACCGTAACTTCCTGAAGTATGGCCCCTGATTGTACGAAAAATCGCGTTTTTAGCTTGTGGACCCTATAGAGGTCAAAATTTTTATCCGGTATAAAAAAAACGTATTATTATATCACCGTTACACCATAAGGACGACTGAGTTCGAATTTCGTGAAAATCGGCCCAAAATTGACAGACAAAATGGCCGCCGTTCGTTCTCAAATAGCGTAAAAATATGGTATATCAAGGTTGTGGACCTATAGAGGTCACAGTTTTTATCCGATTTTGTTGAAATTTGAAATGTAAGTTTATAACCCAAAGATCTCGGTTCCTTTCGATATTTGCGCATATCGGACCGTAACTTCCTGAATTATGACCCCTGATTGTACGAAAAATCGTGTGTTTAGCTTGTGGGCCCTATAGAGGTCATAATTTTTATCCGATTTAAAAAACCGTATAATTATATCACCGTTACACCATAAGGATGACTGAGTTCGAATTTCGTGAAAATCGGCCCGAAATTGACAGACAAAATGGCCGCCGTTCGTTCTCAAATAGCGTAAAAATATGGTATATCAAGGTTGTGGACCCTATAGAGGTCACAATTTTATCCGATTTTGATGAAACTTGAAATGTAAGTTTATAACCCAAAGATATCGGTTCCTTTCGATATTTGCGCATATCGAATTGTAATTTCAATTATGGCCGTTGTTTGTAGGAAAAATCACTTTCTTTTTAGCTTGTTCTCTATCCATCTCTCGAAAATGTGGGCGTATTCTGCCTGGCAGTTGCTGGTTCCCTGTATTTAATGACGTTTTTGTATGTTAATACCCCTACAAAGACGACCCTATATATACAACTACCGCCAACTCCGAAACATTTTACTCCGTTTCCCAGGTCGTATAATTCGATCTTAGCGTCGTTTTTTGAAGACAAATTATCAAACTAAAATGTGGAATTTTACACCAGTCCGAATCACCATTTTTATACAGGACATACTCGTGTTCAACATGACAAATAGTAAGTATCGCGCAAGGTATATACTGGTGACGTAATTCTATTAACCAACCACTCTTGGTTTTGATCTTTACTAATGTACCGTACCTATAAATTCACCACCTTTTCCAGTGATAAAATGTTCCACGACTTCTAACCTCTAAAATCCTCGACGGTGATGTTCGTCATGAATAAGAACAGCGTCGTTTACTGATATTATTTGAGTACCCGTGGGTCGTGACAGTTTCTCAGTTTTAACAAATATTCATTTCGCCATCTTCTCCAAAAATGTTTTAATACTGAATTTATATGTTTCATTCTTCGGGTGAGATCACTTGTTGAAACATTAATATCCAAGTCATTTGAAGTAACATTTTCTGGAAGGCCTGATCTCTATCTTCCACGAAATGAAATGAAATGGGGTTTAACGTCCTACTGTTCTGCTCCTATGCTGGGCTAATGAAGACGGGCATACGCCATACAGTGTGCTATGAGGGGAATTTTGCCCGGGCAGCGGCACTATCGCCTACTCGTATATCGAATTCCAACAGCCAAGGGATCTTTTACGTGCATTCCAATGTATACACGGGACCTCGGTTTTTCGTCTCATCCGAAGGACTAGACAGCTGTCCTTGTCAGGTTCTCCGTCCTGCATCCCTGACAAGGGATGAACTTTCTCGGCCAATGCAGGGATCGAACACCCGACCTCCAGGCTAGCGAACCAGCGTATTACCCACTTAGCCACGTGATCCCTAATTTTATTAACGGTACCACGATAAATATTGTGGCTCATGTGGACATATAGCACATTTCTCGGTTTATATATCAATCAGTTACTAAAGAATCACAATAAATCTAGAATCTGTTTAAACACTTCCTGTTTCAAATTTAAAGGGGTTTAATGACCATGTAATCATACGTGAATAGTTATAACACCGGTAGCGTCGAGTTGTTCCAATGGATAGACCAAGCATGATTACATTCACAATAAACCCCTCTAAATTCGAAACAGGAACGTGTTTATGGATATTGTATTCGAAACAGGAATTTGTTTATGGATATTGTAGCTCAAATATTTTAAAGATTTTACACAAATTTCTAAAACTCGTTATTATTGTTATTGGTATTATCAAGACTGGTCGTCACTATTCAAGACACATATTAAACCGAATTAGAAATCAACAATACTTTCTGTTAAACTGACAGTAAAGTAGCTCATTTTGCATCAAGAATCAATCTAAAGAATGGAAACAATTTATCCAGAATCGTGTGAATGAAATACGTACCTGTCAGTTGTTGAAATCATTGTCCAGGTATAAGTAATCCAGCAGATATTCCTTTAAGGGGTATGAAGTCAACTAAGAGTATAATGAAGAATACATTACAGCAGATTGTAAAGTTGGACTAAAAATCGGAGAATTGAGAAAATCTAATCGGTCAACAGTTTCTGTTCTATTACTGTCCACTGGAAATGAAAACTAGAATGAAATTATCAACTGTAATAAATTCAGTGACAGACTTTTCCGCGTTACCGCCTATGTTATGGAATTTGTTAAGATCACCCAAACTAACAATACCAATATTGAATCGCGTGATTGATGTTTATCAGTAGAAGATATTCAGGAAACCGAAAATTTGTGAAGTCCATTGACGACGAGAGACAATTTTGAATCACTGAAGAAGTAATACGGTTTGTTCGAAGATAAAGATGGAATTTTATGAACCCTTGGTAGATTACAGAATTCAGAACTTCCTTACATTAGTCAATATCAAATTTTGTTAGATACAAAACATTGGTTCACAACTCTTATAGTCCAAGATTCACACAGAAAAGTCATGCATGGGGTGTGAAGACAGTTTGTAAGGAAAATCATATTTAACTGTGCCATATGCATACGATTTGATGCAAAACCGTACTTAGCTCCAGCAACACCACAACTTCCAGATTTCAGAATCAAAGAAACACAGGCCTAGATTACATTGGTCCAGTATTCATAAAGAATCGATATAGAAATTTATCGAAGATATGGATATGTCTATAAACGTGTTGTGTATTCAGAGCAGTTCATCTCGAAATGGTACAGGATTTAATTTAACTCCTGATCATTTTTTTAGAAGCTTCAGAAGATTTTCAGCAAGATAGTGACATTCAAGCCAGTTTCAAGAGAATTGGGTATTATTTTGAATTCGAAACATGTTAAAAACTCATTCTTGGAGACCGGGATACCATGGACGTATAATTTAGCCAAGGCTCACTGATGTGGAGGATTTTATGAAATACCTGCCAAGTGTCTTAAGAAGACTTTAGGACAAGCCACACTCACGATGAAATGTAACCGGTGTTATTGAAATCGAGATGATTTTGAATTCACGTCAGTTGTCATATATTTCAACTGAGGAGGTAGAAGGGCCCCTCATGCCATCGCATTTACTTCGTGGAAGATATGGGGATCACGTGGGTAAGACGCTGGCTCGCTAGCCTGGAGGTCGGGTGTTCGATCCCTGCATTGACCGAGAAAGTTTATCCCGATTTTCCGGCGTGGTTCTCCCTTGTCAGTGATGCAGGACGGAGGGGGCTGACAAGGAAAGCTGTCTAGTCGTTCGGATGGGACGAAAAACCGAGGCCCCGTGTACACATTGGCGTGCACGTAAAAGATCTCTTGACAGTTGGAATTCGATATAAGAGTAGGCCGTAGTGCCGCTGTCCGGGCAAAATTTCCCTCATAGCACACTGTATGGCGTATGCCCGTCTTCATTAGCCCAGTTCGGAGCTAAACAGTAGGACGTTTAACCCCATTTCGTGGAAGATAGAGATCAGGCCTTCCAGTAAATGTTACTTCAGAAAGGCGTACTGCGTTTTTTATTATAAACAATATTTTTGTTCAAGATGTCTGAATGGGGTTGGGGAACAGGCTTAGCCTATGTAAAAACCACTCTCCCGCGATTACAATATACATACATAATATTAAAACAAAGGAACAAAATGGGTGTATATATACAGTTAAAATAACAAACACATATAGCGGGTCAGCGGTTATAGAAGGTGAAAAATTGAGAAGAAAGTGGATGCGATCGTAACTGATGTGATTGTGATTTATTAATCAGTGTTTATTTAGTATATTCAGTTAATAGTAAATTCCTGATGGGATATTTTTATTTACGAGAGAGAGAGAGAAATTCCTGATGGGATATTTTTATTTACGAGAGAGAGAGATATTTTAATGTCCACTCGACATATTTACTTTTGAACTCTTCAGCGAAGCGTGTTATTCAACAGTGGATTGTAACACATTTTATATTTGTAATTCAATCGGACTCAGTTATTTTAATGATTATGTTAACATGTCCGAGTGTACCGTAAGTGATCCATGTCCATACTTAGAAAATTACCAGATCTGTTCCGCTATGGGCTCACGAGGTGAAAATGTATGAAAATGAACGAAGTCTTAATAATTCGATGAAAAGGAGCCGAAATTCTGTTACACCGCCATCCCGCCCTACGACAAAAAATATCACAGTAATTTGTTTCGTTAGAATTATGTACAGTAATATTTTAATCGTTAATACTCTATAGTATTTGTATAGATATCGATATTGACTTACTTGAAAGTAATCTGTCCCATGTCAGTAGAGGGGGCTGTCCATGTTACGGTTGATGAATTTTTTTCTGCGTCAGAGGAATGGGTCCAGGAATCTGCAGTAGCATTACATTTGGTTGTTTTGGTGTTGGCTGATGGAGAAAAGAAGGTTCCAACTGGTGTTATTGAATTAGATGTCCTTGCTTGAACTAATAGACCTCGATGATTACCCCCTCCTGTGATTGCAACTAGAAAATAATTTTAACAATAACACAATGTATGTTTTATGTTGATTGGTTTATTGGAATGACAGTTTGATGTGAGATAGTGGAGGTTTGTCTGAGGACTTTATCTTCCTAACCACAGTCCCCATTTATTTCAATAATAAACAACAACTGAGATCAATTCTGTAGTAGTACTTGCCACACAAATTACTTTAAGCAAAGTCTTCATTTTCGTCCCATAATACACCAACAAACGCACAAATTTTAATACTTTTTGTTTGGGAGGCTATTAGCGTTAACCAAATGAAAACAAAATCCTGATTATCATGTAATTACAAGATAGGGTAAGTCCATGAGTAATTTATTTCAAGGTCGTCATTCACTGACTTATCGAAGGGGCATACGACCTACTCTTATATCGAAATCCAACTGCCAAGGAATCTTTTACGAGCACGCCAATGCGTACACGGGACCTCGGTTTTTCGTCCCACCCGAACGACTAGACAGCTGTCCTTGTCAGGCCCTCCCGTCTTGCACCACTGACAAGGGGAAACCACGCCGGAAAATCCCGATGAACTTTCTTAGGCAACACCGGGAGCGAACCTGAGACCCCCGGGATAGCGAGACAGCATCTTACTCACTAAGCCACCGTTGCTCCTTCATGCCTCCATTAAAATCATAAAGTTCATTCTCTCATTAACTTCATACTTCCACCAACTTCATACATACGTTGATATCATTTATTAATCATGATTCATCAATTCGAACGCTATTTATATATCCTTTAAATTTTGATTTTTGACCGTTTTTGTTGGTTTGACTTTACACAGGTTTTATTGTCTGCAGAAGTTGCCGAGTTTAGCGATTTTAGCCATTTCAACAGAAAATTAAAAGTCAAAACAAAAACGGCGAAATATCGTCACGTTTCTCGCGAACCGACGAATCTGAGTTTCTTAAAGGGGCATTGACAGTTCTCGTTATAATAATTAAAAGATGGTTAACGTAAATAGAATATGCTGAAATGTTCGGTCAAATTGCTTCACTCTGAACCGAGATAATGTCTTTTGAATTTTAGGCTAGCCTCGATTATCCACTTTTACGTTTAACCATCCTTCACAAAGTGTATTCCAATCCACTAAAAATCGCAGGCTAGCAATGGCATCGAGAGTTGATTATGGTCTGGATAAGTTTAATGTCTAATTAATAATTTAGATAAGATTTCATGTCTAAAGGAAACCCTGTAATGGGCATATTTAGCTCTTGCATAATGTATGTTTAAGTTTTGAGAAAAATACTTTGAAGTTTGTGCTCTGTTGTTATCTCCGTGGGCATCAAATAATAACATATATACTTGTTTAATATTTTATATCAATACATCAGGACACTAACTATCATAGCCTAACGAGTTTATTTGTTACAGTGATACCTTCCACTTTGATAAGGGTCAAAGTCCCATTCGCCATGTTGTACGAAAAAAATAAATCGGTACCGTTCACATTAGACACTTTGTAAGATCAAACAGTTTTTTTTTTATACGCCCACATTTTCATGTGGACGTATGTAATTGTCGTCGCCCCTGTCCGTCCACAATTGTTTGTGAACAGTCTACAGGTCACAAATTTTATCCGACTTCAATAAAACTTGAAATATAGGTTTATCACCCTAAGATCTCGGTTCCTTTCGATATTGGCATCTATCGGACCATAACTTCATGGATTATGGCCCCTGATTGTACGAAAAATCACGTTTTTCGCTTGTGAACACTGTAGAGGCCACAATTTTTATCCGATTTTGTTGAAACTTGAAATGTAAGTTTATAACCCAAAGATCTCGGATCGTTTCGATATTCGCGCATATCGGACCGTAACTTTCTGAATTATGGCTCCTGATTGTACGCAAAAACGTGTTGTTTGGCTTGTTGACCCTATAGAGGTCATAATTTTTATCCGATTTAAAAAAAAACATATTATTATATCACCGTTAAACCCTAACGACGGTTGAGTTCGAATTTCGTGAAAATCGGCCCAAAACTGACAGACAAAATGGCCACCGTTCGTTCTCAAATAGCGTAAAAAATATGGTATATCAAGGTTGTGGACAGAGGTCACAATTTTTATCCGATTTTGTTGAAACTTGAAATTTAAGTTTATAACCCAAAGATCTCGGTTCCTTTCGATATTCACGCATATCGGATCGTAACTTCCTCAATTATGGCCCCCGATTGTACGAAAAATCACGTTTTTAGCTTGTGGACCCTATAAAGGTCATATTTTTTTCATCCGATTTAAAAAATATTATTATATCACTGTTACACCCTAAGGACGAATGAGTTCGAATTTCGTGAAAATCGGCCAAAAACTGACAGATAAAATGGCCGCCCTTCGTTCTCAAATACCGTAAAAAATATGGTATATCAAGGTTGTGGACCCTATAGAGGTTACAATTTTTATCCGATCTTGTTGAAACTTGAAATGTAAGTTTATAACCCAAAGATCTGGGTTCCTTTTGATATTCGCGCATATCGGACCGTAACTTACTGAATTATGGCCCTTGATTGTACGAAAAATCGCGTTTTTAGCTTGTGGACCCTATAGAGGTCATAATCTTTATCCGATTTAAAAAAAAAACGTATTATTATATCACCGTTACACCCAAAGGACAACTGAGTTCTAATTTCGTGAAAATCGGCCCAAAATTGACAGACAAAATGGCCGCCCCTCGTTCTCAAATTGCGTAAAAAAATATGGTATATCAAGGTTGTGGACCCTATAGAGGTCACAATTCTTATCCGATTTTGTTGAAACTTGAAATATAAGTTTATAACTCAAAGATCGTGGTTCCTTTCGATATTTGCGCATATCGAATTGTAATTTCCTGAATTATGGCCCTTGATTGTAGGAAAAATCACTTTCATTTTAGCTTGTTTTCTATCCATCTCTCGAAAATGTGGGCGTATCCTGCCTGGCAGCCGCTGGTTTTATATCTTGGACAGTTTATGGCATTCTAATCATGTTCGTCATAAACTCGTCGATTCGGGGGAATATCCAGAGTTTCTCATTTGTACTAAAACACTATCCGATTTTCTTTTTCTAATTCGATGTGAAGGAATGAACACTGAGAGGATAAGCCCTATTGATTTCCCCTGCTTTGCGTCAATCTAGTTCAAAATGCGGAATTGGCATGTAAGTCACTTGTTGACGGACGGAACAAAGGACAGATACTACCACATTTAAATGTATTATGGGTGCATTTTAAAGACTACACGTTTAAATGTATTATGGGTGCATTTTAAAGACTACACGTTTAAATGTATTATGGGTGCATTTTAAAGGGTTATTTGAATATTTACCTTTTATTTGTTGACTGGGATGATATGTAGTTGACGAAACCATGATGGTGTACGGTGAATTTGGTGGTTGTGCGTCAATTCCATGATGTTGTGGCATTAAATTCACACAAGCTTTAAGTGGAGCACCATCACCATAGGAATACACTCGACAAACTGCTCCCACTAAAACCAAACATTTGAATAGACTGGCATCCATTTGTGTAGCGATGCTACTCCGTTTGTATCTTAAAATAAAAATGATTGAATGTACATACGTCTGGCCTTTCACACTGGGTTCAATGAATAGTCAGGTAACGCCACGCCAGCTAAAGTGAATCGATTGCGTAACGAGTCATTTATAAGCTGCTGTATCATCTTTGTTTGACAATCGCGATGAAATAGCCAACCAATAAGAAAAGACTTGTCTGTCACACCTTGTACATTTATCATCTGTTATTTTTTTTAAAGGGGCGCATCTGTTAAATTGTAATTGTTTCTAATATATCGGTACAACATTGTCGCAATAATTATAAATCTGGAGAAACAGAACATAAGATATTTTGTCATGGAATGAATACTGGAACCTTGTGAATTTACAATCGTAAAGCGGTAATAGGTCTACACAAGCCATAATTGTTTGTCGTGATCAATCAATTTTTGCTTTAAATCATCCAAATTGTTTATATGCATATCAGTTCAGAAATTCTAATTCTAACAGTTTTAGCTCTGATAATTGCATTCTTCTTTAATTATGTCCATATTGTACACTTTGCAATCTTGACTTAACATATGTAAGGGTCAAAAGATCTTCGTTCAGTTCGATTTCGTCGATGTCCATCGAACCTTCCGTTCATTTTTACGTAATGTACAAAGTTTTTAGACCCTTCAGAGACCACAGTGTTTGTCCGATGCAACTTCTTGGGTTATGGACCCTGTCTTTTGCGCCAAATGTGAAATCTGTGCACAGATTGTGGACTCTCTACAACCCACACCTTAGCCCAGGATTTAGATGAAACTTATTGTGTATATTTAGAATCAAACGATCTCGGTTGAGATTTGGTGTGCGTTTCATCTTCATTGGACGATTCAGTTGTCATTAACGGCACTGCAACAAGACTTCCAAAATCGCATAGTTCGGTAAAGTATCACACGGGTACTGTCACGTTAACAGCACGTGTCCAACATGTTATGTTTAGAGATTGGGACTGTAGCTTGAAACCGATAAGCATTAAAACTGAACTATATGTTTATCGGCTCAAGTTCTTAATAATATGAATTGCTATACTGCATAAGTCGTATCCTGTGTAAATATTGATCTGTGTCAAGGCATATTATAAATAGTACAGCATGGGTGAGATCACATGGTTTGTTCTTTCTGTGTTATTAAGACGAAAGTGCACGGTGTTTAGACACCTATGTCGTATTATCTATCCATTGAAGTTGAAATTAAGTATAGAGAAGTATTATAGTAAAATTTAATAGTTAATAAATAGTGACAAATCAATATTGTCAATTTCAGATTATTCTGAGCTCAGATATAAGTGCTACAACTTCCTCGGTGTATATGATTCGGTTTATTAGTCGTTAATATGCAGCAAATCGGTTTTGGGTCATTCATATGAGGCCATTTTAATGCGTTGTGACAACATTTAATCCTTGTCAAGAAAGAGGGTTGTCCATTGTAAAGGGGCGGTTGGTTATTTTAAAGAACAATAGTCGTAAATTAAAATACATCCTAAATAATTCAAAAATTATAAATAGTCTAAATCAACCTCAAAATCTTAGAAGAATATTAACATCATCAAAGTTTGATTCTGATATTTCGGTACCCCGTGTATCCAAGTGTGGGGACCTACGATGTATGACATGTTCTGATATAAGGAGGAACATTTGTCCTAATTACTAAAGATGTTAAATTATATGTTAAACAAAATATGAATTGCAAATCGAAATATGTAAAACAAAATAATACCAAGTACGAACAATCCAAACCAAAATATGAATTGCAAATCGAAATATGTAAAACAAAATAATACCAAGTACGAACAATCCAAACCATAAGACAGAATTCGAAGTCCTAAAAAACGTTATTGGCAAAATAATGTATTCGAGCTAAATAGTGTAATCAGCAAATGGACTGCTCCTTGTGTACAAAATACACGACAAACAGTGGTAACAGGTGTCTGGAAGAGTAAGCTTATCCTGCCTGGCGCCACACCCGCCATAGCTGCATCCAAACTATTAGGCGAAATGTCGGTAAAATAGCGTGATTGGCCAATGAACTATGGTATGCAAAATGCACGCGTTGAAATGTGTTAACGATGTAGTAGACATTATCAGGGAGATAGTAATAGTATACGTGTCAATTAAATATATCTAGAATAATAGCCGAGAGAGACACGTTATATTTACCAATCAAATCAATATGACGGCCATAAAACTTTTTAAAGGTTTTAATAAGTTTACTGCGCAAGTACCCTTGTAGTTGAAGCTTAGATGACAAATGCCTCGATCTACTTAAAAAATCAGAATAAAAGGAACAAGCTCTCGCGTAACGAATTAGCTGAGATACAAACAACTCCATACGCTGGTGATATTGGAATGTTACTACTAATAAATGGAAAGTTAACAATCGGAAAGTCAAAGTCATCACGTTTATCGTACAATTTAACACTCAGTTTATGGCAATTGTCAAAATCGAGACGCAGATCCAAGTACGAAGCGTAATTGTCACTGTCAGTGGTGTTTTTAATTTCGAGCTCATCAGGATATATGAATTCTACATAATCACTAAATTTAGGATTATTAAGTGATAAAACGTCATCGATATTCGATAAGTGAAATTAAAAAGTCTGACTGATCGTTTATTAGTTTTTACGAGCGTCTGTATGTAATCGGCTTCGTACGAATAGAGAAACAGGTCAGCAAGCAAAGGTGCACAGTTGGTGCCCATAGGGATGCCAACCACTTGCTGATATATTTCCCCTCCAAATTCAACAAAGATGTTATCAATTAAAAAATCCAACATCTGAATTATCTTGATGGCGGTGAATTTGTTTTTGGAATCACTGTGAGTCTTAACAAAATATGTGGAATTGTAATTTACAACTAAATATTGATATCTAGCAGTACCTGATTTAGACGAAAAGAAACTGTGAATAATGTCCTTCAACCGGGCTTTTAATTTACTATGGGGAATTTTAGTGTACAAAGTAGTAAAGTCAAACGTTTGGATAGATGAGACTGAAGCAAGGGATCTAGATTGCAAACCATCAAGTAATTCATTGGAATTTTTCCATATCCACATTTGGTTTATACCAGAGAGTATATTTTGTCACAGTATTTTTGAATAGCCTCTTTAACAGCCGTTAGTATAGATGTCAATACCTTTGAAAGTGGTTTTGTGGAACAACGGGATGAACCTGCTATAAAACGTTGTTTGTAGGGATTTTTATGTAGTTTAGGTATCCAATATAACAAGGGCAAATCTGTATAGGTATCTCCACTCCACACGGAGTACCAAATGAAGTGAGTACTGATTTGTGATTGGATATAATTTCATCCTTACTAAGAGTAGATCGTTTATATGTAGCACTGTCGATTGGTTTCCCGAAATTAAGTTCTTTGAACAGACAGTCAAAATAATGTCGTTATTAATATGTAATGGCAAGTACATTGTAAAAACTACTGATCAGTTGAATTTACGAATTAACCAACGTCGTTCTAATATAAAACTCGCAAGAAATAGAGTTTTGCCGGTGAGCGAACATTTGGATATTTGTGGTAAAGGTCAATTCAAGATTTTTCCTTTGTACAAACTCAATATTAGTGATAATGATCTCTTGGAAACAAAAGAAAGCAACTTCATCGCTAAATATAACCAAATTTTGAATGCTAAGGGGTGATTATTTTAATTATGTTTGATATGTATTTAATGTTATTTTGTTTTAATTTTTATATTTCACATAGTCATTGTCCTCTGTTATGACGTAACGTTATTGTATCAGCATAGTAACGAATTAAAATGGCCTGCAGATTCGTTTGATAACGATGAAAGTACTAGCTAAAATTTAATTTTTAGCGTTTTTACTCTAATACTTGAATTTTACTTATATGTTTAACTGAGAGTTGGCTCGTTTTATATATATTTTTTTTCTTATATATATATATATATATATATAAAATATAAATGGACATTGAAATAAAGGTAGGGTGAATTCAATCTCGAGCGCTATCCATTTTCCGATCTACGATCGCTTCGGCCACTCGTTAGCTGAGAATGTAAACAAACAGTAGGCATAGCGAGCTTTCGGACGTTTACTATTTTGAATAAGAGATACAATAACTATAACTGCAAGGACTGTTTATTAACTTCGTTACAGGTACGTGTATTTGTACCCGAGTCTCATGGTTCATTTGGTGGATCCCTGCCTGTTGGTGGATCCCCGATTGCGTTGCTGTTGGCCTTGATATAGCTGTCTGTTTTCTAACCGATGAAACACTGACGGTTGATATGGCAATGATACTTTCGTATATTTGGGATGACAAGAATCAACCCGAAGATATTGCTTGGTGTCAGTTGTCTTATTGAAAATATCTGTTTCAATTTGTGTGCCATTTTTAATAACTACGATATCAAGTAAGGCTATCTGCTCGTCGCTCTGCCGCATTGTAAATTTAATACTAGGATGAAAATTGTTTATTATGTTTTTGAATGTTTCTAGTAAAGAGTGTCCAAATTTTGAACAGTCGTCAAGGAATCGTCCCCCATTGTCTTGGAAGAATGCCCAAGTTTATAATTTGTTCGCTTTCTGATACCATATGGTGCTCTAAATATCCTAGAACTAGATTTGCATACACAAGGGCTACTGTTGTTTATAGAATTTTCTGTTGAAATGGAAACAGTTATTTTCTAAAAAGAACTCCAATCTCTTCAAAATGAATGATGATATCAAGCCAGAATCATGAGGTATAATGAAGTGACATCAAATGTAATCAGTAAGGCATTACATGGTACGGTTTGTGGAAGGTGGTTTAAAAAGTCTACATTCTATCTCTTAATATAGCTATTTACATGTTTTAAAAATGAGTTAAAAGAATATCCAAGCGATTGCTTAGCCCGAGGGTTTTACATGAAGGTCCTGTCATGATAGTTCGTAAGGGTAGATTCGACGGAGCTGGACGTTTTAAATATTCAATCTTCTGTACTGATCAGGCATCTTGGATATTCTTGCACTTGTGAATTTTCGGAAGACTGTAAAACTTTGCCCAATAGGTATTCGTTCTCTTTACCAGTTAAATTCCAATCAGCAGAGC